TTTTAGTATTGTCAGCTCTAAGAATCTGCCTTGGGTGTGTCAGAATGTTGTATATCTGGCACATTTATAATTTAAGTAAAATTTGGTATTCAGTAATGGTGCCTGCTGGTATTTGATTAGATTGATAGTAGTGTATGCAACCAACATGTGTGTTGAGTTGGTGACTGTGGCTTAATGTATTATTAAGAGTAATTTTATTAAATATAGTTTTGTCTGTTATTTGTCTTGTTTCTTGCCATATTATGTTGCCATATTTTTCTTTGGAGTTGATTTTATTGGTTAGTTTCTAGATCAGTTCAGTTTTTCTAGTTTCAGGTGCAGCCTCTTCATGGAGGAATGCATGTAAGAAAGTAATGGAGCAACTGTTACATCCTCATTTGACTTAGCATGATTATTCAGTTTTCTGGGACAAAACGTTTTCAAAGATGTTCAGAGGAGAAAGAAAGCCATTAAAAGCACAAAGTAAAATACACGTGTCAGAGCTAAAACCAGTCTCTATAAAGCCATTCCTTTATACACACATGAATGCACAACCATGCCTTTTTTACTTGTTCTTGTTTATGAAGGGGGCAAATTGCTAGGTGTACTTTGAACTGAGCTGCTCCTTCCTTTTATAGTAAGAAAGCTGTATCCTTTGGTGAGATGAGTTGAAATACATACAACAATGAATTATTCCAACTTGTAGCCATAGTTTTAAATATATCCCCCTGAAAATCCTTCTTAGTCCTATTTCTAGGCTATAACTTTTTGTGATCCCATTGGTCAATATCAGAATGGTTTTATGGTGGCATATCTAAGAGATACATCATTTTGTGCTAGAGGTATAGAATTTGGAAATTAATGCTCCCAAATCTAATTGATAGGCCTGGGTAAGGATCATAGTGGTTATTGTTATGTTGACATCAAAAAGGATTAGGGGAGTGTGGTGGAGGTGAGTTAAAACAGATAGAAATGTTAACATATTACAAGCAAAGTTTCTTTAGGGTTCATTTCCCTAGTACTGTACCAGTCAGTGTTCTTAGGGGTGTAGGCATCTATGCTCTCCTGTGTAGTTGCTTTTTTTGGTGCAAACATTAACCTAATGTAGTCGTGATACCAGCTCCTGTGGCTTGTCTAGCATCGAGTCTGGCAAAAATTTAATAGATAATGTATATTTTTGAGTGATCATAATACAAATTAATGCTCTTAGATCAAAAGTTTAATTTCAGTATAGTTCCATTAAAATAAAACCATTTATGTTAACATGTGTTGACTTTATTATGTACACTTCTGTTTTGAGAAAACTAGCAGATAACTAAGGTAATTTTGGTAAGGTTATGCTTACCATTTT